TCTACATTAATTGTTTGCATTCTGTATCAGAACATCTAGTCCAATATTTTATCACATTAAAGATTTATCAATTACTGGCTGAAAAAAGGCTTGGTAGCAGTGAATGTTCTTATATATTTAGAGTAGCTAGTCCGAAAGCACATTTCAAGGCATCATCAACAATTGAGAAGGCAAAAACGTACTTGTTTCACTTGCATACAAATAACTGTAGGAAGTTACTTGCTGGTCACTGTTTGAACAGCAACTAAGGACAACTATGAAACACGCAAAGCAATGGAGAGGAGACTAACAGGGCAAAGAGGTAAGTGAGCAGGTCATTGCAAACTCTCTGTATTTCAGCAAGGGTAGGCAAGCCAGAATTACTGACGGCTTTTATTTTAACCAATGTTTTTCTTCCAAAAATTGTGCCAATGTCTGCATATCACTGCACCTAGGAAAATCTAAAGAGTCAGTCCTAGTAATAAAATACATTCTGAATCACTGTTTGCTTTTTCTTCTTCTTCTTTTTTTCCCTGAACGTGTAGGTGTTTGAGTCTGTTGTATTTCTTCTTTTACACCAACTACAGGCTGTTTGAAAGTGATTTCATTATCTTCATCATCATCATTCATTTTAGCCACTTCAGACTTTCTCTTCTCCAAAAATGTTGGTGTACAAACTGGTGTGGAGCCCTGGCTATTTGTAGAGTTCTGAAGATGTGCTTTTGAAACTTTTCCCTTTTTCTTTTTTGGTAAAATCAATGATGGAAAATTATAAACTATTCTTTTTTTAGCTAACTTCTTCCTAAGTAATTTTTCTTTGTTTTTAAATCGCTTCTCCATCCGCAGCTTTTCTGGCAGTGTCCGTTTCTTATCGTACCGTTTTACTGCTGGAAGCGATGGCTTTGAGAATGGAACAACCCAGTCTTTGAAAAGTTCTTCATGTACCTTTTCAGGTGGCATAAAATCACACTTCAAGAGTCTTTCACCAGAAAGGTGGTTGTTCATTGTTTCAGCAACTATCTTGGCAACATCATTGGACTCAAACTCTACAAAGGCAGAGCTTTGCTATTTCCAGTCTTTTTACTTCTGGACAATTTGAGTCTCGTAACAGTGCCAAACTGGGAGAAATATGCCTTGAGTTGGGGTTCAAAAAGGCCTCGAGCTATGTGGCCCACATAGACTACTCCAGGAGTAAGTTTTTCTTGCTTTTGAGACTCAGGCAGCTCGGCTTCTTGTGTCCCTTGTCTCTTCAGCTTCTGCTTCTGTCTTCTGCGGCCTCTTGGCCCTCGGGCCTCATGCCCGCCTCTGCCCTGCTGGGGCAAGTGTTCCAAAGCTCTGTAGCTCCAACGGTATAAATGCTCAGAAGCACCCCACTCCGCCAGGAAGCCTCCTGCACACAGGCACTCAGCTCCCTTGATCCGTGGGTCGGCAAGCCTAGCTCCACTGATAAGTGCCTGAAGGCACCCCACTCCACCAGGAAGCCTCCCGCGCACAGGCACTCAGCTCTCTTGTTCCGTGGGTCAGCTCCAGTGCCCTCTCGCAGTGGTCTCCTGGTTCTGCTGCTGTAGGTTCTCTGCTGCTGTAGGTTCTCTGCTGCTGCTGGTCCTCTGTTGCTGCCACTGCTGTATCCGTTGACAGTTTCAGAACTGCTTCCACATTTTAGGTATCTGTTAAAGCAGCACCCCACTGTCTCAGTACCAAACTCTGTCTTAGTCATCTAGTGTGGCTACAACAGAAATACAAGTGGATGGTTTTAATGAAGAGAAGTTTATTTCCTCATAGTCAAAGTAGGCTAAAAGACCAAATTCAAGATGTCAGCTCCAGGGGAAGGTTTTCTCTCTCTCGGCCTTCTCATCAGTATTCCCCCAGACTAGGAGCTTCTCGGCGCAGGGACCCCGGTCCAAAGGACGCGCTCTGCTCCCGGCGCTGCTTTCTTGATGGTATGAGGTCCCCCAAGCCCTTCACCTTTATCTGCTGAGTCTCCATATCCGCCAAAAGGGTTAATAATAGCAGTCTTAAATAATTCCTTACTCTGTGAGCACCAAATTACTTAATAGTTATTAAAATGTTCTGCGTCATTCACTTAAACTTTTGGCATTTTATGTACTATTATCACAATCCAATTCAGTGTAGTATGGGCTTATAGACAGTTAGCTTCTCTCAGATTTCTCCGTAACAAGAGTCATGGAGAATATCTTTTTGCAATATCTGTTAGACAAGATGGTGGAGAACAGGCTTCTATGTGACTTGGGAAATACCTGATCATCCATCTCTCCAACTAGTCATGTCTGCATGCAACCAACTGGTTAAGAATAATTAATTTATAATAATTATTATAATCACAATAATCATAATTATAATGCCACTTTAATAATTATAACTGTAATAATACCTTACATTTTCAAGGTGCTTTACAGTTTACAAATATACCTATATTACCTTCCTATTCCCACCCCCAAATCCTGTATTTGAAAATGCATTATCATAGCAGTCCCAAGAGAGACAAGAGTTTATCCCTATTATACGGCTCTTTACTGAATGTGGCCCACTTAATCAAAGTTTTAGCTATATCCTTCCTAATAAGAAGCAGAGATGCTGTCTTAAGTGATTCTTTATATTTTTAACACATTTTTCACATAATCTGTGTCCTCATGTTAATCTCAACAAGTTAGTTAGAGGAGGTGGTTTTATTCCCATTTTACCTAGGAGATACCTGAGGCCAGGAGAATTCTATGACTTGCCTATGATTGAATAGAAATTTCACTGCATGGCTAGATCTCGAGTCTGACCTTACTGATTCAGCTCCTCTCTCCAGGCACTGAACCCCTGGACTTGTGGTGAACCTTAGTATCCTCATCCACATATGCAGCTCTGCGAGCCGCATCCCAGAGTTACCATCTTTGGTTCCTTGCCACCTCCTCCTCTGCAGTGCCTCAGAAGAAAAAACCATGTCTCTCTTTTCTACGT